GGGGAAGGGCTACTATTACTCCTGCTGCTGCGGCTGCTGCTACTGCTGCTAATACTACTACTACTACTACTACTACTACTACTACTACTACTACTACTACTACTACTACTACTACTACTACTAGTGCTAGTGCTAGTACTAGTACTGGTACTACTGTTGATGATGATGGGAATTGATTCCTTATTGTGGGTAATGCAGGATTTCTACCTTCAACCGTAGTACTAGCACTGCTACTACCACTACCACTACTGCTACTATTACTACTACTACTACTACTACTACTGCTACTGCTACTACTACTACTACTACTACTACTACTACTACCACTACGACACTACAACGACGACGACGACGACGACGACGACTACTACTACTACTACTACTACTGCTACTAGTGCTACTCGTGCTACTCGTGCTACTCGTGCTATCCGTGCTACTAGTGCTAGTGCTACTGCTGCTGCCGCTGCTGCTGCTACTGCTACTGCCGCTGCTACTGCTGCTGCTACTACTGCTGCTACTACTGCTGCTACTGCTGCTGCTACTACTACTACTACTACTACTGCTACTACTACTTGTACTCTTGTTGCTGCTATTGCCGCTACTACTATATTACTACTACTTTCAATACACCACTACTACCATCACTAGCTACCACTATTTTCACTACCACTACAACTGCCGCTCCCACTGCGACGACGACTACTGCCTCGCCGACGACGATAGCGGATGCTTCTGTTACGAGGATGATTAAGTAGGACTGTTTCTTATCTGCAGCCATTTTGGGCCGCACGTTCTTTGATTTCTGGGTTAAACTTTGTCATGACAATCATGTGCATCCAGGCAGGTTGGCGGGTGAACTGGCCAGCTGGCGAATCAATCTTGTCCTTGAAGTACCATGGCCGCAGGCAATGGAGCGCGAGCCCGCAGCCGAGACCATGTCCTTGTAGAGTGTTCGACATACCATGACAGTGGGAAAGTCAATTCAGTGGGTTTTAATGCTGGGAATTGACGTGTTAATGTTGCAGCAGACAGGCGACATGCCGTGCTCTCATGCGCGGGGCCGAGGTGCTTTTGGCAGGTTTAAAGTCTGGAGGAACTGGTGGCCTCCTCGGAAAGAGTGGCCATGGCCTGCCCGTGTCACTACCCAACCGCGAGGGTGCGCAAGAAGAAGAATCCGGAGAAAGAAGTGTGGCAAGTGATGTCCTGCTGCAAAACAAAGGTCTCAACTTGGTTGCAGCCTCCCGGCTCTACTTGCTGGATCTTTGGTGGAACCCTGCCCAGCGCTTAGTTCTTTCAAGGCAGCTGAAGTATGCTGAAAAGGTGTGGCTGGATCTTTCTGTTTGGGGAAGGGTGCCGGTCCGAAGGCTGTCGAGGAGCAAGCCATCCAGCGAGTGCATCGAATTGGCCAGTAGCCCTCCCAGACGCACTGGGAGCTTATTGTGGAGCTGTGACCCCTCTCAGCTAAACAGGGCAGAGTCTATCCGCCGGCAATTTCTTGGGTGCAGTCAGATACTCATTTCCGGAAGCGTGCTGGCTCGCGCAGCTCACAGGAAACAAGAAGTTCACATCTACAAGTTCGTCGTGGAGGAGTGGTTTGCGCAATTATAGCCAGATCGGGCCAGATCCATTAGCACAACGGCTTGGCAAGATGATGCCGCAAGCAGACTGTGTGCTTGCCCAGCGTGCCTCAGCAACAGGACACCATCGACTGCGACTTGCTGCAGCTTCACCGTGCCAAAGAGCGCCTGCTGGAAGACGCGGCTCGGCTCGAATCGTAATCAAAACGCGCAGACCTAAACACTACATAAAATGTTAAAGCCCTTCTTCTAAATGTGAACGCAGGCACTCAGTGGAGGCAAAAACCACGAAGTGGCTACCCGGCTCACGATGGACGACCTAAAGCGCGAGGAGCTCAGATCTATTCAGTGCAGGCTTTTGGACATGTCCTATAGCCTAGAGCGCACAACTCAGACACATACACACACACACACACAGGAACACACACACACACAAACACACACACACGCACACACATACACGCATACACACACGCACAGACACACATACACACACACACACACATATACACACACACACACATACATACACATACACACGTACACACACGCACACCCACACCCACACCCACACGCAAACGCACACGCACACGCACACGCGCACAGACACAGACACAGACACAGATACACTGCCGCAAGAACAGTCTTCACAACCAGGAAGTTCTGGTGTGTCGAGCATGCCCAACATCGCCTCTGCACGGTTTAGCTGACTGTACATAGCCGGAGGTCACCTTCCTCCGAATTCATTTCTGTGGCGCACAAGCTTTGCTCGCGAGGTCTGTTCAACCCGTGCCGGTCTCTTCGAACCGGAGGTCCCGATTAGAAGTGCGAGCCAGAGAAACAGACCTGACAGTCTTCCTTTTCTCAGATCTTCCTGCACTCAAAGCGTAGTAAGGGGCGTAGCGCAGCGCAGGAAACAGGCTGGATGCACAGGTACTGGAGCTTTGCAAGCAGAAGGAGGGGGGAGGAACCCTAAGGGGAAAGCCATGTGCAACTAGTACTTCAAGCAAGCTCTCCTCTTTCGATGGGGGGAATTGAAGCAGGATCATTGGCGCGGGAGTTTGGGCTTTGATGCTGGTTTGATAGTGCGAGCAGGGGAAGCAGGGTGAGTGTTGAGCGAAGCTACCTTGCACATGCAACAAGAGCTTTCGGTAGAGTGCGACCTCGGCCGTTCCAATCAGTGGCCACAAGATTCCCACAGCAGCTACTAGCTTGCAGTCTGGCAGGCTCTTCCGCTCCAGCTGAAGTCAAGGCTGTCCTGTTCATTTCATTCCACTTTGCTGATGCATGTTGCATGGTTTGACAACTCTGCCATGCACGGCTAGAATGCTGCTATCGGTTGCCGCAGCAGTCTTCTGCTGCAGAATCTCGCCTGTGCAGCCACTTTGTTCCTTTCAGCTAGTTAGCTGAGCCCAGAGCCGGTTTTGCCGGGTGGCTTCAGTAGGAACATGATGCATATGCAGTCGACAAGCAAGTCACACGCTCTGACGTTACACGATGCAAATCCTCAGGTCGACATCACGAACACAACTGTAGCACAGCAGGCAGCACGCGGACCTCCATGAAGCATGGTAGCCCCTACTCCAAGGTAGATTCGCGGCGGCAGGTCTTACACCATTTAGGGGATTTCACCAGTCGGTCCAGAAGAGAGTGGACTGTGCTTGCACCACCTGCTCGTTTCCTTTCCATTCTCTGCTGAAAAAACGGTTGCTTGCAGCAATCTGTCATCCCAATGCACTCGCATGTGGTGATGGGTGTTCCATCCAAATCTTCCCGCTATGGCCACGGTAACCGAACATCAACTGGGAACCTACAGGAAGCTAAGCGGCCTTGTAAACTCTCTCAGGGTTAATGTAAAGCTTTCTCCGGCCCCTGCCAGAAGACTGCAGGACACCAACAAGATCCAGACAAAGAGTAGGAGCGGGCAGGCAGAGGATTTTGCCGAGCCAAGTAGGACTGAGGCGAGCAGCACACAGGAATCAGCGGAGGGCACGAAGACCAGAAGACACGCAGGCAGGCACACGTGCACCCGCACATGAATGAATGAATGAATGAATGAATGAATGAATGTATGTATGTATGTATGTATGTATGTATGTATATATATATATATATGTATATATATATATGCCTGTGTATGTGTGCATGTTGGTATGTGCGTACGCAGATACCTGCCTGCCTACCTTCCTCCCTGCCTACCTACCTACCTACCTACCTACCTACCTACCTGCCTGCCTGCCTGCCTACCTACCTACCGACTTACCCACCCACCCACCCACCCACCCNNCTGCCTACCTGCCTACCTGCCTACTGACTCGCTCAGCAATGGTGCCAAAAAACCTGCCTCCTAATGGACCGACCTACCCACCCCGTACGCAACGTACTTGCTCTTACGTGTACATACATACATGGAATCAAACACATACAGTCACGCATACATGCATGCACACATACATACAGACTCATACAGCATAACATAGATACAGACATAACCCCCCGCACACCCGCAGATGGATGCATACCTACATACCTAAAAGTATAATGTAGATGCATTCCCACCCGGTTCCATCGACCCAAGGATGCACCTCGTGTCTACAATGAGCGAACCAGGCCGGAGCTATTTCAATTTCTTTCGCAGAAACACCTCAGCGCTTGCTTTTGCTGCCTGCGCAGGAAGTTCGAGTATGCCTTCTTCGCAGACAGGAATCCCAAGTTCGTGGAAACTCTCGGAAAGTTCCTTGAAAAGGAGCACCGCAAGATACTTGATATGGATTTCGGGCCACGGCGACGCTCTCACGAGCGTCCCGGGCACACGATCCAATCGACGGCTGACAGGAGATGTTCGAGAAGGATGAGTTCATCATCAAAGAGGGTGACAAAGGTTATAGCATGCCCCCTGGCCGCGGATTGCAGGCAGAGCCATCCGTGATTTTCCGCGACCAGCATTTGAGCTGGAGTGTGCTGTCCCAGGTACTTCGTCTGCTCCGGCCGTGCAAGCATGTGCTCTGGTGCAGACCTGCGCGAAATACACACGCTGACACGAGGACCGCACTTGCTGTGCAAAGTAAGCTTTGGGATATCGGCATGCAAGTTTGCCGCAAGTTCATCAGCTTTTCAATCTCCGAGGAGCACACTGTGGAGAACTGGCTCTGTATGGGATCAGCCATCGGAGTTTCAGCGTCATTGCCCTTGAGCGCACAGCAACTTGCATTCAACACCTTAACGAATGCTTACGTGTTCAGAGCATCCTAATCGCCAATTCGCAGTCTGGGATGGTGGGTGTGCTGCTTCTCGGTCGTTGATGTTTGTCTAAATCGTTTTTAGCTTTTTCTTCTGCATGACCTGCGCAATCGTGTCCGGAGTGCCGACCGCGAGGAATGCCTCGTGCTGAAGAACCGTTTCTTTCAGGCCGTTCTTGAAAGGCCGGCTGGGTAGTTATAAGTGGAGTTATAATTTGGGTAACTCTAGTTATAACCCATATTATGCCGGAATGTGACAAACGTGTGAAGGGATGGACGGTTAGTGAGGTGGGGAAGAAGCTTCAGAGATATCGCTAGAGACCATGTCCCCTTTCCGTGGTCCGTGTTAGCAACTGCGGCATCGAGCAGGTTTCCAGAGGAGAAGGAGTACTTTGCGGAGGTCGCAGCTGCCAGAAAGCAGGACACCGTTAAGGCTTTCAACTGCAAGTTTTGTCAGGTGTTCTCATACGGCTATATTTCCTTGCTATTTCTACAGCTCACGAGGTCATTTGTCAAACAGGCCTGCTGCAAAATGCACACTTTTTGTGTCACGGGGCAGAGTGCCTTTGCCCAAATGATCTGGCAACAGGAGCTCAAGCTCTCGTACGAATATCAACGGCAGACGCGCCGTCGGGATAGAAGAATAGCCTGGCATGGGGAGAAAGAGCAACCCCAAGGCACCGGCTCCTTTTTGACCTTTGCTGATCGGGTTCTTCTTGACCTGACAGATGATTCGGACCGTGACGCCACCGATGATCCGGCACCGAGCCTTCCCGAGGTAGGGTATGCTTGCACTCATCCGGCAACGTTGCACCTCGAGGGCGAATGTTCCTGAATGTTCGTTGTGGCACCTCGAAAAAATGATAACAATAAAATGAGCGTTAATAAAGGACTACCGGCATGTGCAGGCCGACACCTCGGCGCCGTTGCCGGACCCGGAGATCCCAGGGCCCCTTCGAAAGCATGCGGTCTCTCACGTGCGGTTGGCTGGATGTAGAATTTTTCAGTGATTTTCCACACCCAGGCAGGCCCCGGAGCTCTCTCACCTGCAGCCCGGCCGCAGAAACGTGAATCGTCTCCGTGCTGAGCGGCAGGCACCATGCACAAGGGCGTTTTTGCTTGCGGAGCTGCCCTGTGTCCCCTCTACTCAGGTCGGTTGTGAAGCTCCTCGCGCCACCAGCACCACCGCGCAATGGACCATCTCAGCTTGCTCCTCTTGGCCAGGCAGCGGGCTTCACACTGTGCCTTTGTCCATCCTTTGTCCCCGTCATTTACTCTTGCACCGCCTCGAAGTCGGAGAGAAGGCTTCCAGGCTTAGGGGCAGGCGAGACAAGCAGAGACAACAGCTGAAACGGAACCTCGGGAACAAGATGGTGCGGAAAGCCGAGAATGGTAAGATGGTCTTCTTCATTCAAAAGTGCTCCAGATGGGGACTGCGAAGTACCCAAATCAACAACCAACCGCCAACAGCTTCTAGTCGTCGTGCCGTTCGTAATAGATGCAGATATTGTAAATCGTGGGGTTGCGGTTGCAAACAGTCAGCTCGCTTCTCAGGTTTTCGGGCCGGGCACTGCGCTCACGAAATAGCAACCAGAACTACTGGCCCAAAGATGTGCAATCAGGGAGGCGGACCATTCTCGCCGACTTTTGGATTCGCAGCCTAGTTCATTCTCAAGCGCAGTTCACCATAAATCCGATGATGCCGATGAACAAAGAATTGCTATTGAAGTTTGGTTGTGTCTGGGAGTTCTTGCTCTGTGTGGGCGGAGCACGAGCTACTGTCTTCTAGCTGCCTCATGCCCAGTGAGCCCAGTGCAGGAAAGCCAGGCGGATTCGGTAGCTGGAGCTAAATGTGCGAACGCTGACGCGGACAGCATCAGAAGCCTAATTCAAGCTGCCTGACAACATGGCCATCTTAGTCCACCCAAGTCATCCTGTGTCCCTGCGCCCAATTTTTTACGACAGAGTGGTATGTGTTGACGGAACCCTTCGTGCGCTAGAAGCATGCGGGAGCTTGAGATCGCAAGCTAAATCATTCGCTTGAAGGTTCATGACCGTGTTCGGAATGGCAGGAGGAGCTACCAGTGGCTTGTTTGAATCGGCTGGGTGACGGTCGCAAAAACCAGCCGGACTTCTCGCCAAGGCACCGGATGGTCAAGGAACTGGCGACCGTGGGCCATGCTGCGCTGGCTCGGCGAATGGAAGTTGCTGCTGCGGTCCAGGAGGCACACAGCTTACACTTGACGGTTGCAGGCGACTGGTAGTCATGTCAGTTTGATATCCTCACCAGCTGGTGCTGTTGGCTTCAATTCAGGACATGCAGCCGCAAGCATCCAGTTCGTTGATACCAACTGCCAGACCGGGGCGCAGCCACTCCCTGGTCCAGGTGCGTGACGGCATGATACGTATTGAGCAGCGCATCAGTCAAGCAAGGCGTGAGCATATGCATCGGGCGTTCCAGCGTGGGAGAAGTCCCTGTATAAAGCTCTCGCAGGTTCCTACTCTTGAGCCCGCAAGACTCAATCCCTCCAGCAGGGCGGCGAAGGCTGCGAAGGGCTGGCCGTAAGCAATGATGCGTGAAGTAATGAAGGTTCTTTTCTGGTGTGCTTCGTGCCAGTGCTTTTCCTTTCCCTGAAAGTCCGCATGCACTCAGACTTCCTTACTCTGCCCGCAGCATGATATTAACATGTTGAATGACCTGAACAGGTCTCCAAGTCCGAGGACCTGCCGCAGTTGCCAAGCCAACCACTTCCCAGTGCTAGCAAGGCAGCGGCAAGAGCATGAGCAAGCAGCTGGAGATGTCGATGTATGTCGATGTGCAGGGTTCCCTTTAGTGGTTCGGGTTCGGGGAAGTGTTTACGCAGCTTCAACACGTTGCTTGAGCACAGCAGTCACCGCTGACTTCTCTTCGGCACATATTTCCAACTTCCTGGCAAGGCTGGCATTGAGTACGAGGACTCCAACCGTGCACAGAAGAAAGTTCTTCAAGAGGATGATGATGATGGCTTCAGCTTCCTCAACATGGACCTCAACGCCATTGATCCCTGGGCCAGCACCTCGCTAGCAAAGTTCGACGGGGTCTCTCCCTTCTCTTCCGTATCAGCTGCAGACCGAGGGACTGAAGCGACAAAAGGTACGTATGCATTCATGGATGCATGGATGTATGTACATATCTACACATGTATAATTACATCCCCCGTTTTGTGTCTGTCTATGTGTATACGCGCAAACAAAGACGCTGAAGTTTTCAAGCCGCGCGCGTGTGTGTGTGTGTGTGTGTGTGTGTGTGTGTGTGTTCGACAGGGTGTATGTATGTGCATGTGTATGTGGGTATGTATGTACGTATTTGCTCGTCTATCTACCAACGTTAGCGTTGTATGCCAGCCCTGCCTGAGGAGCCGTGTCCGCTTAGCGAAGTGTCTTCCACAGACACGGAACTGGATCTCCGTCACATAGCTGAAGAAGTGCTCGTTTTTGAAGACATGGCGGACCACCGCCCATGATGTGTCGCCAGGAGCGACTCATGACAAAGCTCAGGTGCAGCTGGCTGGAGCTTGGGCTCTTGGCTGCATGACACGCAAAGTGTTCCACAGAAGCGTGCAAGAAGTGCAAGCTCGCTTCTATTGTTAAGCAGATTTCTTAAGATGGCATGCTGCCGAATGGCACAGCTTGTCGATCTCAGTTGCTGTGGGTTGTGCCCGTTCCTTCGTCTCCATCTTTTCGCTCCACTTGGGCTGATGCATGACGCAAGCCCTCACCCGGGCATCTTGCAGCTTCACCTTTGTGGGTTTGGCGGAAATTGGCGGAAGACATGCAGTACACTTGTACCTGGGACTCTGCTCATGTAATTCGGCCGCGTGCCCATCTACAGTAGCCTGTCCGAACCCGCGGAAACGGTTGAATCTGCCAGATGGGCGTGAGCCACATGCACAAGCTTGCGTGTCGTGCAGTACGAAGACCCACGGGTTGTTTGGACACTGTCGCAACGATGCATTGGCTTACAGAGGACATGGTGGAGCTGAATTTTCCCGCAGCTCCACACGACGAAGCAAGCAGCTGAGGTTGGGAAGTATCACGGAGGAATCCTGGTATCTAAGTGCTTAGATGCTTTTACTTCCCAGCCCACAACCACGTCAGCCTTATCAGCTTTCTGTACATTTGAGCGGATTTCAGCGGCCGGATCTTCAACGAGCAAGTTTCGTGTCCCACGATGACAAACGAAGGCAAAGGGCACTTTTGTGAGTTGGCCTTCTGCGGTCAGCTGTTGTTTTTGAAGTGCCCGCCGCTCTGCCCTTCCTGGAATACCTTTTGCCGCGTTTTTTGAAATCAGCCCGGGCTCGCCTACAGATGGGAATGAGAGAAGTCCAGTCCTCAGAGAGAGGCTCGACCCGCGGTGAAGCGTAGTGCTCTTCAAGCATTATTGCTAAAATATATGATAACGTGGTTTCGAACATGTGTCTAGTTTCAGCCATTATCACAAGCTGGGGCCTGCGAGCACATCCGCAAAGTGGATCGTGCCCAGAAGTGCCATTGCATTTAGCGGCAAAGCGTGTCAAATCTGGAAAGTTCGGTATTTGAATAATTTTTCAACCAAGCCCATCCAACTGCTTTCGCGGGCCTGCTGCTGCATACAAGCTGCAGTCGGAGATGCCGCGCAGAGCAGGGCAATCTACGCAGCGTGTTGCATGGGTTCCAGCTCTGAGCTCACAGCGAGGCTCGTGCCTCAGCAGGTTCCTTCGCATGTGTTCCGAGTATGGGCGGTGCACAGGTCACGCGGCATTCAAGGTGTTTTCATTTTGTTGGTGGAAGGGCACGGCCAAGGACGGCATGACGGCAAGAGTGCAACTCTGTTTCAAGACTCGTGTGAACCGAGACCGGGCTCTGCGATGCTGTTTAAAGCTCACGGCTGTCATCTACGTCTGTGCCAGGGTCATAGCTGAATGCGCTTTTGGCTTTCGGGTTGCTTTTCCTGGCAGGCTTTGGCCCTGAGCTCTCCTGCGGCTGCGCTGCCCCCGGCGCAGGACACGGTGCGTTTTAATAAAGTGTTTGAAATCTTGCCGCCCCGAGCCCGACGAGATCAACATGGCCGTTGCGAAGGGATGACCCACAAATCAGGGAGCGTAAGGAGACGATATCTGGTTGAACCTGTTGCGTAGCATGCATTGATAAACTGGCATTGTCGGCTGGGCGGGGTTTGTTTGGAACTCGCGACTGTGCCAAAGTCGTATGCTCGGCTGGGACAAAGCTGCGTGATTATTCTGTTTCTGGCTTCGCAAATACACCATAAACACTCTGGAGGTCGTGGGGAAGATAGAGAGAGACAGCCCGGCTTGGAGTGCGAGGAGCAGTCATTGGCGGAACCAACGCAGCAAGTACAGCACTCAGTCTGCGCGTTGACGTGGCTGCCAACGCTCCAAGATAAGAAGGAGAGGTCGCATGAGGTCGCGTTGTCTTCATTGCAAAGAATCGGCAGCCGCCGCGAAAGCTCGTTTGTCAGTGTGCGACGGAAAATCCCGCCCTGTGTCTTCTTGCGCCATGGGGTCTGGGTCTTCGGCGTCGGCGCAGAAGTCCGCTGGCTCGGCAGCTGAGTCGCACGCGGGAACCTGCTCCGAGGCAAGACCGGTGGAGAGACTGGGAAGAGTAGGGGAGAGTGTATCATAGTGTATCTAGCCGTTCGCATTGCACATTTACTGGTAGATCCAAAATGGTTCTGCACTCTGCCACGCCGGTTCATGAGGCTGTCTAGCGCGGAGTCACGATAGCATGAGCAGGAAGTCCGGGAAACGACCGCAAGTGTGCCCGTTGCTTGGCTTGGTTTTGATCTTTTGGCAGTGGTCTTGCCGTGCTCTCTCTTGGTTGTAGGCCTCGGCAAATCCATCACATGAAAAGTGTCGCATGTTCACAAAGTGAACCCTTACCTTGCCGTATTCTCCACAGCAGTTTGGAGATCTGTGCTCCATGCTATCGTGTGACGACTCCAGGAAAGGCCACAGCCACATGATCTCAGCACAGCGGACGGTCGTGCCGCCTCGATGCAGGACACAGACGATAATATTTGGACAGTGATACGCGTAGTGAACTGCGCAGTTCGACAAAATCGTGGAGGGTTTTGCTATCGCAGCGCGGGCACGAGGAAATATCATTCAGATTCATCCAGCATGGCAGGCAATGCTGCAGATGTCGAAGGTGGAGTTTGGCGACCACATGGCGCGGCTGCAGAATAAGTTCACCGTGAGATCTGAAATTGGAAAGACGGAGAACCGTGGGTTGTCCCTGGCCCAGTTCCGCGGTCTGCAAGAAGGAGTGTTGAGAGGAAGGAGTTTTGATCACAAGGCATGTCTCTCCAGGTTGCAGGACATCCAGAACTTTGCGCAGCAAAACTGCGAGCTGTGGCATGATCTGTCTCCGCCGGAATATTCGAAAACTTCGGGCCAGATACTCCGCATGGACTTCCTGAACCTGTACCACATGTGTACATGGTGTATCCTTCCTGCCACTCACGTCGACAACTGCAGCTTCGTGGAGTTCCCTGGCTAGCAGAATGGCAGTGCGCATGTCTGGAATGTTGAGGTTGTATGAGCAGGATGTCACGGCTGGCCAAGGCTCCTGGCAGACGGCGATCAAATTCCAAACTGGTTTTGCAGTCATTGGTGGCTTAGCTCAACACCTGATCACAGAGGTTCGGGTCTAGTCTAAGGCCAGATGTCTCGATCGAAGCATGAAATACAATAATGAACTACAATGAACAAACGTGCAGCCGCACCCTGCCTGCGCCAAGCATCCCGTAGTTGTAGCAAGGTGGGGCGAGCCCATTCGGGACTTCGTCAGTTGTGTGGAAGTACACCAAGCCTTGCGAGAAACTGCCGCTTGGCAAGGGAGTGGATGAGAGTGGGGCGGCTGAAGGCTGAAAGTCTTGAAACTGCGAACCGTGCAATCTGTTGAGGACCTCTACTGGATATGTGCCTACGCGAACAGGCAGCACTCCTTGCAGGATGAACTCGTCACCGATCCATCGCAAACCAGCTTCTACAAGGTCTCCACCCAAGAAGCTATTCCTAGAGCCTGGCCCCCACCTCTCTGAGATCGCAGGCAATGTGCTTGTCGAAGGGCCTGCTCATCATACTGGATGAGGCCGGCGTGGGTTTTCATTGCGTGTTGATGCTTCTATGGAGCCTTGCCGATCGACCTTTCCTGGACAAGGTGGGCCCAGCAACTCCATTTACGCGCATCCTGGCACGTGGCAGTAATGTGGATCAGGCTGATTAGAATTACACAGCTATCGTGATCCTTAGGCATTTGGTGCGCCTTCGAAGCTTACGTGGCTCTCGTTGACCGACCTCGAGAAGAGGCCATGGCGGAATTGTCGCAGGCGCGGCGATGCGTCCATGCGGTGCAGGCCATGCTGCTGGATATAGCCTGTCGTCACGGCAAGACAACCTACCTACTGACGGATGGCCTTGCCGCGGGCGAAGCGAGGCTGGAGGACAGCAAGAGCAGGGAGCGGCACTCCACGTCCCCTCGCTACGGGCCTGGTGATCGTGCGTGCATCATTCACCTAAGTTTCCCGGCCTGCCTCGTGATGCAGCCGCACGAGGAGTTGGGCAACTTCAGCCCGAGTTCAGTGACACTGGCGCAGTCGCTGCACCTTGGCGTAGAGAGCGCTTTTAGCATTTGTAAACATCTTGATGTTACTCGGTTATCACGCGCAACGGAAGGAAGGGTTTGCGACAGATGTGCTTTCCATCGGAAGTCTTCGAGCACGGCCTCAAGTTGGAACTGCATCGTGCTCAAGCCTCTCGAGCCCTTCGGTTTTGCTAAGCTTACCCACGATTTGAAATCGTTGCCATGCCTAGCCCCTAAGCCTTAAGCAGAGATGCAGTTTCCCGCTCCATAAGGACGTCGACCGCCGCCGGATCCTGAATAGCTTCGCGGGCCGCACTGGTGCCGGCTTGGACGAGATGCCGCACGAGAGCCATCCCAAGTATGAAGCCCTGCTGGCAACAGAGTTCTGCAGACTCCGAGGAAAGAACTGAACTGAGACGGAGCTTCTAAGGAGGAAGTGAACATCCGGCTTCGTGCAGTTCTCGCAGTGGCAGCCTGGGACCAGGTGGCAGTCTCGCAGGTGACGGAGCTTAAAGCTTACAGCCTCGCTTTCGTATCGAGCAGCCTCGCTTTCGTATCGAGCGTCTCAAGGAACTCCAAGTGTTGCAATTGGTGCGTTCAAGACGGGAAGGCCTTCGATAGGGGGGTGATGGTTCGCTTGCCCCTGTTAAAAGAAGCAGCAGCACTGTTCTGGCAGTCTCAATTCGCACGGGCCGGTGTCAGTTTCGCCGCCAGCTGAGTCCTCATCCTTCATGGCCAACGTGTCGCAATGCCTTGCAGCAGATCGGTGGCGGGACAGCTTGACCTTCGACCTCAGTCGCTTGCCGACTGCAGACAACTGGGCTTTGCAGGGTGCCTTGGCAGACTTCCCAGCCTGTCCCATCGCCCCATCACTTTCCAATCTAGTGCATCCACATTCGAGCCTGCGGTTTCTGCCCCATGTTCGCTGTTCCAAGTGTTAAGGTGTTGGCAGGAGTCTGTCGCAACAGCTGCAATCCCTGAAAGTGGATTGTTCAACTTGTTCGAAGATTACGAGTCGTGGGCTGGAAGCATTTGCCCAGCATTTGCCAGAAGGCCGGATGTCTGGCCAAGAAGACCTCGTGGCCGAGCCACACCACAGCATGGCATTTTGTTTTTGTGGTGGGCCACGGACTAGCCCAGCATTGCACGCGTGGCTTCAATTTCCAACATGTGGCTGCAGGCCTTACGGCTCTCTCCATGAACTTCAGGATGTGCGAGGGCCTATCCAACAAGGGTGTGGCTGCGCAGCTCAGCTCGATATGTTCGACTCTGCAGTTTTATGCCGCGAGTTCCCATTACAAACGACATATACTTCAGTTTCGACTTCCGACATGTGTGCAGAACTTCAGCAGAGCGGCAAGCGAAGAAGAACAGGAGTAGATGCAGGCCTCATTTCGTACCGGTTAGGCAATCTGTAGAAGTGCCCGTCTACCTATCTTTAAACCTTTGCATTCATCCATACATACACACCTGCATGCACATACACAAGCGCCTATACCAACATACGTAGATGGAGAAAGTACGAGCTTGCAAAACCAAATTGGACATATTGAACCGTATGATGCATGTGCAGCTCTGCGCGATGCACGATGACACCTCAAAACCCCATCTGCGCCCCGAAAGGATACGAAACTCATGCCAAAAACAACGCTCGGAACATCTTGGAACCTGACAACAACACCTTCGGACGTGTCATGGGGACGCAACAACACCGCTGATAAACAATCGGCATTGCCGATAGAAGGTGCTTTGGGGAACGATGTATGATCGTGCCTGCATACGCAGGTGTTCAATAAACAGAGCCACATCGTTGCACACAGTAATCTCTCTGGCACCGGTCCCGATTCGCTTTCAGGCTTGCGGCACAACTCCCTCGTGGCCTCGAAAAGTTGGATTTGGGCCTCGCCCAGAGCGGCGTTTCGAACGTGGGCCTCGCTGCCTTGGACACCAGTCGTGAATCAGAGGGTTTCAGTCTCGGTGGCCAGGTAAGGCTGCAGCTTGGCCAAGCCGAGGCCTCTGGAATGCCCGCAGCACTGCAGGAGTTGAGACTGGACTTGAACTACTGCTCAAAAATCAGCGATTCTGGCTTGGCGGCGTTGGGCGACCACTTGCCAAGTCGGCTGCGATGCTTGAAGGCACGCTCACAGATTGAAGTGCATGGCCCATGACAGCCCAACTTTCGGACACATGCCGCTCGATTCCTTCGCGTGCAGATAGTCTTTGCGGGCCACCAGTCGCTCACGGATGCGGGGCTAGCTGCCCTCTTCAAGTTGCCGGCTGATGTCGAGGAAATTGAGCTTGTCCTGCTACAGTCGGACTGGTAGCTTGAATGCAGAGGTTTCAGAAGGCATTTCTTGGACACACACACACACCAGCATGTGAGGCTGACCGATGCCGGCCTTGCTGCAGTCGTCACGGCGCTGCCTCCCTCCTTGAAGAAGGCAACCATTCGGCCCCACCTTTGTCGGACGTTGTCTCCCGCTGCCAGGTGGGATTTGAGTGTGTGATGGGAGCAAGCCATCAAGGGTGTGCGCAAATCACACTTAGATCTGACGAGGAATGTGGCAGAGAGGCATCTGGATGACTTGCGAGCATGGCTGCAGGCTCGCGCTCTTCTGGCAGGGCAAGCGTGTATCGTTTTCAGGGATTTGTAGCCGACATGGCTGCTGTGCAGTAGCAGGATTGCCGAGTAGCACCTGCCGCTCCAGCAGACAGTGACCGTGGACTCTTCGATTCTGCGAGCCTCCTGAAGGATGCCGTGCCGAAGGAAGCGACACTCGGTGACACAGAACTCGAGAGATGGAGAGCAAGGAGAGGGAACAGGAATGACAGAGTTCAATCTACAGAGCCAATAATGATGTGGAGATCCCGGCAAGTGCTATTCCAGCGGTTCAATCGAGGCGGAGCGTCCCCCTACATAACTGTTGCCAGTCCTTCTGCAGCTTCTACATACCCCTTCCGAACAAGGACCAGCGGAAGAAGACAAGAGAAGTACCGAAGTAGTTTGTCGCTCTTCAGACGCCCTTCCTATAAGGATCGAGGCTCCGGACCCAGCCGACGGAGCAAGCCTCGCACTGCCCATCGTCACTCAGGACCAGTCACTCAGCTGAAGACGATCACCACTTGAGTGGAAGGATGTGAAAGGTCAAGCGCACAAACTGCCGTTCGTCATTCGCCGCGTCGGCCCAGCAGCGTGGCATGCTCATGACCTCCATTACAATGCCACCTTCATACCAGTATGCGATACTTTGCAGGCTAAAACAGACAAGAAAGGAGTTAAGGTCGATGGTACATTCCACCCAAGCTGCCTCAGGAAAGCATGAATACAGATACTCGAGGATTGATGCCTGGCACGATTGGTGACGTGACGGGTCGGGTCGTCTCGGGCATCCTTGAGCTGATGCTCCCGGTTGCGACTGCTCTTCCCTTTCTCACCCTCTGGACGATCGGTCCGTGGATGCAAACCGCTTGTCCCCGGCACAGCTTCCCAACGAGCGTGTCGAAACAAATTGTACCCTTTCGTACCCCGTAGATTGTCCACATGACATGTCCATATTCACATTTCTGAAGCCGGGCTGTCGTGACAACGTGCCTTCCATGCGTTGCACCCAAGTTTCTGATGTCTTGCGCGCATCGATGCAGGAACACCCGGACCAGGGTAGGGTATAGTTTCGCTCCTGCTTTTGGTCAGGGCCAGTCCTGTCAAGGCTGGACATCGTTTTGCCCCTGCTGATCTCTGGCTTGAGCTGTGCGCCGCGATTGCGCCAACTGCAGCTTGACTTCCAGGACCCCGCTCATGGATCAGTTTTCCCTGCAGAAAAACTAGTCTATCTTTGTCATCTTGATTCCGGTGCATGCGGGTCTCCCGAAGCATCTGCGAAAGCCGCGATGTGGCGTGAGGATTGTCCGGAGGCATTTGGTGACAAGGAGCTGGGAAGATTGGCGAGCGCTTTGCCATCTGGGCTGGTGACACTTAATCTATGCTTGCTACTCGGCGAAAGAGCCACCAAGTTGACAAGTTTACGGGGTCAGTCCCCCTCCCTTTCAAGGTGGGGCTTGGGCAAAGTTCCTGCCGCCGGTGCCAGTGCCCTATCCTCCGCGCTGCCTGGAACACTTCGTGATTTCACGCTCATGTTAGGCCGAGTGAGTCGAAAAGCTGCCTGCGACTTCGTGTGAGCGACCATTTAGATGTAGAATGCTTGGTAGGGCTCTCATTCTTGCGGGTCCCTGCAGGCGGCCAATGGCATGATGCTACTTCGGCCCTGGCTGCCTTGGATTTGCGACAGACTCTGCTAGCAAAGCTAACGCTCTATGTTGGCACCTTGGATGGCACAGAAGCTCCAGAATGATGTGATGCACTTTCAGCATAGTTTTAGATTCGCAGTACATGTCCGAAAACTTCGGCATGACGTGGTGAGTGCCATCGTTCCCACTGCTGGCAGTCCTTATCTTCACATGCCAACTGCTGTAAGCCCGGCGAAGGAAGCGTCAATGATGTAGCATTGGCGACTTTCGCGTCCAACCTGCCGTCCTCTCTGCAGCGACTTGACCTCACACTCATGCAGAGCCGGGACCTCAAAACCATGGCGGTTGATCGGACTGGCCGTATATGCCATCTACTGCCATGACCACTTCCATGCCGGGGAGGCTATTCCTTCTCGGATGCCGGCTTGGCTGCCCTCGCCGCGTATCTGCCGCATGCTGTTGAACTGAAGCTGGAGCTGAACACAGGGACGGAGCTCTCCCGCGCAGCGCACGAGGCCCCGTTCGCAAACCGTCAGAGACTTCTTCGCCTTTGTAGCCGCTGTCGGGCTCAGGTGGCCAAATCAGCAACCCGAGACTCCTTGAGAGCTTGGCTGCAGTCCTCGCAAACCGAGCCAGCGAAGCCGGCAGCCGGGAGTCAAGAACGAGCCCAAGTTGAGGAAGGCTGAGTTTGCAGTTCAACCTCGCTTTCACATGCAGAGCCAAGTCCAACACGTGACCTCTGACATGTTTCACGTTGATTACTCACGCACCCGCCCGAAAGACGGGAGGGCGAACCACAAAGCCTGTGGCAACATGAGACTCTTGGGGGGTGGGGCTCTTGTGCCTGGCAATAGTGTCTCGCTTTAGCATGCCCGCCTCACTAAGGTCCAAGATGTGCTGATGACTCCAGCAGAAAGGGGCTCCGCGGAAGCCCTGCCGCAGGAGCTCTCATAGGTTGCCACGGTTAGCAAACTGCCTCCCAAACATGAAAAACTGTCCAAGCCCTTGCTGAGACGGCGAAGCTTTCTTGGAAAGGGTCTGTCTTTGGTTAGAGAATAACAGAAGCTCTCTGGTCTCATGCTAGTAGATAGAATAGATCTCTTGCTTCTTCCGAAAACGCGGAGGGAGAAGGTCTGTCTTGCCTGATTAGCAGGTAAGACCCTTTCTCTGCTATTCCAAGATCTCCTCTTGAGAAGAAGACACCGTGCTTCACTACCGAGAGGCAAAAACCGACAATTCTGTGGATCAGGGGGAATAGGTGGACCGTGCGTCTGCACACATTCTCACACATTCGTGTCTGTGTGTATATACATATATGTGCATGATAAATAAAAAATAAGCAACCGCAAAAACAAGTTAAGTAGAATATTAATATAAACAATTATAAACAGGTATACATAAAGCAATATGCACACACATATCTATATGCATACATACGTAAGTACTTACATGCATGCATACATACATACATACATACATACATACATACATACATACATACATCTTACATACATACGTACATACAGACATACATAGACGGATGTACACAGATAGCAAATTTACATCTATGTACATATCATTGCCCTTGTGCATGTACAGTAACGTATGTATGCACACGCATACACACCCCAGCGAATACTTTCAATTGCTCGTTCGTCCGTTTCTTCTTGGCGCGGCAGGACCAGACCCAGTCTGCTTCCCAGTTCGGGGTTCGTGGGCACTGGGACTTGCATGGAACATGCGAATGCCTGCCTTCATAGCCTGTGCTTCGTTGGCCAGGCCAGAGCAAGGCGACCTTGCGCGCCACGTGCCAGGGAGTGCAGAGGCAGGGGCACTTCAGCTATTCAGGAGCATTCCTCACTTTCTTGCGCACTCACGGAGCTTGTTGCGTCGCCAACGTGGTTTTACAGGAGCAGGTCCGGGGCAGTGGCTCGACCCTTCCTCGATCAGGCTTTCTCCCGGCAACATTTGAGGAGAGCTTGTTGTAGACGGGGATGCCGGTCTCCAGTGCTCAGGGCTTAGAGGTCTGGACTCAAACTAGTCGAGGACCCTGCGCCGCCTTTGCCACCTCCGGCAAGGCCTCCGCCATGGAGCCTAGACTTGTGACTGCGTTGGGTAAGGGGTGCCATCTTCCGGCGTGGACTTAGGCCAGACGCTCTGGAGCCCGTGCAGGGAGTGCAGGCAGCTGTGACAGCCGAGGCCGTTGCGACGGCCATCTTCTCGTATTGCATCGGCGTAGTGTGTCACTTACCCAAACCGTCTCGAGCACTGCCCCAAACCTGACCGAGTGATGGCACGTCGGGAGCGAGAGAGGTGTACTATTGAGCAGATTTCATGAACTCTTTCGTTGGCGAGGCGGAAGCCTTTGATGCTGATATGCCTCAAGCAGACGCAGCTGCGGCAGAAGTGGGTCCTCAGACTAGTATATTCTCAGCTGCGAAGGCAAGCATCCGAGGGCATGCAGTGTTGCAGTCAGACTTCAGCCGTTCCAGAAGCAAGTGGCCAGGCTCCGCCGATCCAAGAGCAGAATGATGAGAGCATGCTGCAGGCGACCCTGGCCCTGACAACACAAGCAAGCCTGTGCTGATTCGACATGTGAGCACAACATGTGAATCGAATCCCCGATCATCAAAACAGTACCTGCAAGAACTGCAGCTGAAGCTCGGCGATCAACTTTTTAGGGCATCATGCAAACTTGTATCGGAGGGGTCTGGCGCCTGTCAAGGCTGTGGAGCCCCATTCCGTGCCTATGCTGCTTCCGGATTGGGAGGCACCAGCTTGTGCTGACTGACTGACGGGGAGGAAAGGGTTCCGGTTGAAGCAGCGACAGTACATCGTTTCCCTGACTTCCACACAATCCGGGAGAAGCTTGGGAAGTCGCACCTGCCGAAGGCTGCTGGAGACGCTCTGGGTGAAGGCGCGCCACAGCCCCGCCCAGCACGGTGGTCCTGTTCAAGACTGAGGGACATAGTCCTGCGACACCCGGCCTCACACTTGTTGGTTGTGGTTGCCGCATCTTTCTCTGTGGGCTAAAAAGGCCTTGAGAGGCAGCTTCTCACGGTGGTTGAAACGCAAAACTAAACTACCAAAAGTTTGATGCTACTCAAACATGTGTAGGGTGAGCCCAAGAGCAGAGAACCTCAAGAGCGAATTCTGCAGTACCAGGAGCACTGCCCCTTGGCCCCAAGTCGCAGCAGATACCAAGCCTATCAAGCTTTTCTCGTGTGTTTTCGCATGGTCGAGCCAGCTGTCAAGCGCCGCTGCTTGGATGCTTCGGAGACCGGGCGACCTCTTTGGGAGGCTGTTCTTGGGGCTTGAAGCTTGTTGCCAATTCACTTTGAAGGGGTTGTGCTGTGATAAACCCTGAAAGGCCTGGCGCTGGGGAGGATATGGTTGGCGAAAGTACAACGATGCGGACCAGAATGCGTTTCCGGGCCGTGCAAGCGATAGCGACAGCGGTAGCAGGGTGTTCATTCGGAAACGAAGGTGGAGCGGGGAAAGCTCCGACAAAGACCAATCATGGCAGGCATAGTTCGGAGATCAATGACAATGACTGTCGCATGCAGCTTACCGGTACCAGTTTTGCTGAACATTTCCCGATGCCATGATGACACAGCATGTCAAAAGCAGGATTCAACTTGAAGCCTTTCCCAGCTGAGAGAGATAAGGGCAGGTCCTCCACGTCATTTACCAACTTACCAGTCGACTGTTGGCGAGAGTGGACGCAGCCCAGGTTGGAGGAGGCGTACTTGACCGGGCAGGCCCTTGCTGAGGAAGCATCAACATGAGGCATCGCCAAGTTCTGCCAGGACACAGCAGAAATCGGCGAGCGGCGTGCCTGACAACACTAACACCCCTCGGTCAGAGGTCGGTAGTGGCAATGCCTGCCTGGATTCGTTTCGCTTCCCAAGGTCAGGGAGCAGGGTAGCGCGGCTGCATTGATCAGACAGTAAGGCAATGCCAGACATTGATGCATGAACGTCGAGTTCAATGTCGAAGTCTTGCATTGGCACCCCCCTCGTCAGGTTTTCTGGACCTCTTGTGGGCAATGCGCCGAGCTAAAGGGCGGCTGCGTTCGCCCAGCTCGCCGTCGTTGGGTGTCCGGTGAGGCTTTGTTCGAACGCATGGTCGCTGATATCAGCGCATCATAGTCCAGCCGCCCCTCTGATAGAGGCTTTGTCCCGGCAATGAACACATGTTGATAGCTGCGGCAGGCGGCCTCGGACACCCTCACGCCGTGCAGCGTTCGCTGGTTCGACGGCTCGGAGATTTTCTTGAATCGTTTGACATCTCAGCATATGCAGTGCAGGGAGTTCTTTGACTTGACGGATGACGACCCGGTGGGCCCTGCGGCACATGAAGGAGAGCTGTCGTTGGAAGAGATTGTGGCTGGACAGGGCCTTCAGTCTGTTCTGGTGGCAAGCTATGGCATGAACAGAGAAGATGTTGTTGCTGTATTTGGTCAGCCAAAAACTCTGACCTTGGTGGACGAGTACGACCATGTTCGTGAAGCTCCAGGTGCTGAACCGCTGGTTGGTGAAGGGCTGGGCATGGATTTCGCAGACTGGACGCTGATACGCCCGATGTTTGAGCAAGGTCCAGCTTACAAAGGTCGGCCAGAGATCTTTTAGACAAAAAACATAAAAAATGGCAGCGATGCTTTAGACAGCACTGCAAAGTGACATTGCGCCCTGGAGGTGGCGTCCTGCATCCGAAGCTGCTCTTGCTGCAGTTCTCTGATCGGCTCCGAGTTGTGGTGTCCTCTGCGAACTTTTCACGTGCGGGTTTCTCAGAGATCTCGCAGTGCATTTGGGTCTGCGACTTTGCAGCAGCAGACCCAAGCAAGAAGAGAACTGACTTCGGAGCCTGTCTTCGGGACTTTGTCGACCGCCTGCTCACAATCAACACAGGCAGCCAAGGCAAAGGAATAGCTTGATCAAATGCGTGAGGGAAGCCAAAACTTCGCCAACCTTAGCGCCTTGGTTCCTCGGCCATGTGTCGCCTCAGCTTGTGAACAGGTGCGGCCTTGGCGAAGAAAGTGCGGCAGAAATGGCTGGGAGTCCTTTCGAAGCACGACTTGCAAGTGCCAGAAGGCCAGGGGCCAGAAGTAGCCAGGCAGAAATCTCCCAGGACGCAGGGTCTAAGTCTAAGTCTCTCTCTCTCGAAGTCTATCCAAGACGGCTTTCCTTTGAGGCGTCCATCTGGTTGCCAGTGTACCTGGCCGCCACTGGAGCCCTTCCTTCGGCCTGGGAAGGCTTCGGCATCTCCTCGCCGAGGCAAGCAGCCGAGGCTTGCGCTGGAGGAAAGTTTGGTATCAGTTCTCCTCCTGTGGCCAGGCCGGGGCTCGACTTCTGGGGTTCCTTCAAAGGGATCCTTGAAGGGTTCTAGAAGGGATCTAGAAGAGGGTTCTATAGTAGGGTCTTCCGGGGGTCTTCCGGGGGTCTTCGGGGAGACTTCGCAGACTTCAGCTGCGAGTTTCCGCTTCACGGGCAGGCTTGCTGGTGCCCGTGCGCCTTGTCCTTGAAGAGTCGCGATCGTCGTAATAGCATATGTAGTCTTAGTATTGGTCTTGTATATATCAGCATGGCATATGGTATGGCATGTTGGCATGGATGGTCTGGTTTGGTGACCGTAGCATAGCGCAGCGTAGTTTAGTGTAGTGTAGTGAACTCTCCGCGCGCGCCTGTGGTGTGTGTGTGTGTGTGTGAGCGATATCCGACAGCCCTTGCCTCAAAGGTTCATGCGCAAGAAGCCTAAGCCTTGCGTGCCATCCGAGAGTCCGAGCGAGAGCAGTGCAGGTCCGGTCTGGGAAGTGGTTCGACCAGTTTACGAAGGTGATCTCCGACCCTGAGAGGCTGCCCCCCGCTTCCCTAAACAAGCACGCACGCGGGCGCGCACGCACACACACACGTGAACGCATGCACAGGCACGCACGCAGCTATAAACATGCATACATGCAGGAGGAGAGGAGTGGAGAGTGCAGATGCCTAACTAGGAATGATGCAGGTCGGGAAGTCCAGATTTCAAGCTCATCTGGCCCACAGAGCGGCAAGCCCTCAAGAAGGGCGTTGTCGGTCGAGGCCGAGCCCAGCCATGCTGAGGCTTCCCTTTCCCTTGGGTTTCTCTGATACTACTACTTGGCAGTGACGTTTTGTTCCCTCCCCAAGTTTCTTTCCCGTTGTACCTATTACTCCTCCATCGTACATTGCTTGCCCCATCTCATAAACACCGCACAACTTGCTCAAGTCTCACGTGCTCTGACCTTCCCGTTCGTAGCCTCAGCGAGCTTGCTGATCTCTAGCCGTTTTGGATCCATCTTACTCTTGTGCAGCGAGAAGATCACCAGCTTGCGCGCCTCTTCATCTGGCTGATCTCGATATCTCTTGATGAGAAGCAACTACAACACTAGATAGTGGCTTAGTGGACCATGGACATGATGTTTTGAATGCTTGCTTGTTGCGCAGACACACACACACACACAGACGCACCCCCCCCCACCACACACACACACACACACGCACGTACATACATATAGTACAGACAGAGACGGACAGTCGTACACACAGACAGGTAGGCAGGCAGGCAACCAGACAAAGACAGACAGACAGACAGACGTACATACGCATACATACATACATACATACCTACATACCCTCTACATGCATACATACATACATATATTCATACATTGACATACGTACATACACACATTCATCCATGCTTGAGATTTGTCTGTGTACATGTATGTCCGTGTATCTAGCTGCTATCTACCTGTCCACCCATCCATCCATTGAGGCATGTGTTTGGGCGCATATTGCTGTGGTTTGCAGGTTGGCTTTCGACCCATTCGCTTTTTCTACTTCTCCACCGCACATCGCTCCCTGCCTGCCTGTTTGCACCCATACCCGTGCTTGCCTGTCCACATACATACATGCCTTCCCTTCCGTCCCACTGTATGTCTGTCTGTTCGCGTGCCCACTGCCGCAATGGACCGGTTTTCAACCACAGTCACTAACATACCCGCCGACCTACTGTGTTTGTCCCGCTGTGTGCTTTTTTGTTCGCCGGTGCCTGTTTGTGCGTGAGTCTGTCTGCTGCACGTCTCGGTGTGTCTGTCCTTTGTCGTTTAGGTTCAACTTTTGCTCTCACTTCCTCTCGCTGTGTCAGAAGTCCTGAGCCTCCAATCCCATGAGCAGTCCTGGGAATGACGCATGAATCAAGAGACTCACTAGGTATCGCGGGTGGCTGTAGAGCATGCTGAGCATACTGGAGCCGTAAGGCCGCAAGGCTATCCGACTATCCCGCGGGTCGAAGCACCGTCCCGAATCGTAGGTAGTTCCACTTGTAGTTTTTCAAAAGCCAGGCAACTATTGCCTCGATGACCACGACAATCTGCCTCGAGGCAACCATGTCTACAGAACAGCAGCGGTCGAAAGTTGCTGACAATAGCTGCAGCATGCCATGGCTCAGGGCAGCTCCATGTCTTGCGACCAGCAGAGAGACGCCCGCAACATGTGTTGCTGCACAGCAAAGTCATGGTCGCAGAGGCCAGGAGGGAACTCTGCAGTATGCTAGTGACTTTGCAGCTCTTGTCGTAAACGAGCTGGTCAATGCTGCAGGCGGCATCAGATCCTTCAAAGCTTGCCTGGGTCTATGCGGGTTCTCACAACCTGAGCGCGGCTGCATGGGGGGTGCAGGCGGATTGCCTTCGATTGCTCCATCAAGAACCCATGACTCGGCAGAATTGAACATGTGCCTGGCTGAGGTGGAAGAGGAACTGCGTATCAGCTGCCAGTCTGAAGCTTTCTCTCGGCCTAAGATTGTTTCGCCCTCTGGAACTTTAAAGAGTCTGTGTAAGTTGGATGTAAGCCTATGTGAGAATGTAAGATATCAGACACCTAGCCGGGCGCTGATCAT